TACCACTCCCTACCCAAGGCCAAACAAGGGCCCCAAGCCCCAGCTGGCCCCAAGGGCAAGGCAAATGCCAAGCAGCAAGAACCCCTACGGGAGCGGTTCCCGAACGCCCCAGGGAAGATAACCCTGACACGCAGGGGCAGTACTCACAGGGCGCCTAGGGAAGGAAGCCCCAAAGCGCATGCAGCCCCGGCACTGATGAAGTACTCCTGGTCACCACACAAAAACAGCAGAGAACACCACACGAGGCAAACACCACCCAGGAATTTGAGGCCAGAGCAGCGTCTATCCCGGTTGACACTAGCTTATGAACTGAAGGCAGCCGGTGTGGTGAGATCCGGGGCCCCCCCTCCTCCTCCCGGGGAGGGGAGGGCTGCGCGGACGACCAGCGCGGCAGTAAGTTGATTGTTTGATTGTTTCCTTGGGATTGTAGGGAGTTTCTACCTCTCTGTTCAGTTTTTGTTGTAGTTTCTTACCATGTGGGGTTTGTTTTGTTACGTCTACCTTTCTGGGTGCCTAACCCAAGTCGATGGCAGATAAGGAAAACCCCCAACCATAATGGGGTTTTCCAGGGCCATTGCTCCCTGAAACCTCTCTGAAGGGGCCAAGTTCTGGCGCTAGTCCCTGGTAGGTCTGAACTCCATAGCTAATGTCCCGGTCTAACAAAACATACATTAGCCCGATAAGCTCCAGGGAGCTGTAGAGGCTCCCCACAGAAAAGGCGACTGTCACCCTGAGACAAGGGCACAGCAACAAACGAACCCGCACAAGACAGGTTGGAACCTGAAAGACACATCTAGTGGTCCACCGAGCCCCAACAGGGTTTTCTTGGGCCTGTAGGGTGATGACTACGGGAAGCCGGGGAAAGGTATCGCTAACTGGTTAACACCCAAAGCTAACAAGGGGTAGATGCTAACATTGAAAACCCCTGTGACGTGTACAATTATGGGGGCCCAACAGAGGGCCATCAAACACTACCAGTGGAACTACAGCCACACTCCCAGGCAAACCCCCACCAGGCAAATGAAAAAATGAAAAGAAAAACCCGCAAAAGTACAATGTCCTCAGAGGCTACAGGAACCAGTCGCTACGTAGGTAGCAGGTCGCGCAACACCTTGACGCCCCAATCTGCACGATACCAGTCCCTACCCAAGGCCAAACAAGGGGCCCCAAGCCCCAGCTGGCCCCTAGGGCGAGGCAAATGCCAAGCAGCAAGAACCCCTACGGGAATGGGTCCCCAACGCTCCAGGGAAGATAACCCTGACATGCAGGGGCAGTACTCACAGGGCGCTTAGGGAAGGAAACCCCTACGCGCATGCAGCCCCGGTACTGATGAGGAACACCTGGCCATCACTCAACACAAAAACACAGCAGTGAGCGCCAAGGAGGCAAACACTGCCTAGGAAACTGAGGCCAAAGAAGCGTCTGTCCCGGTTGACATTAGCTTATGAACTGGAGTGCTATGCAGCCAGCGTGGTGAGGTCCAGGGGCCCCCCACCCTCCTCCTCTCGGGGAGGGGAGGGGAAGGCTGCACGGACGAGCGGCATGACAGTAGTGTATTACGTTTGCTTGTTTGTTTCCTTCCTTGGTATTGAAGGAAGTTCTGCCTCTCTGTTCGGTTTATGTTGTTAGTTTCTTACCATGTGGGGTTTGTTTTGTTATGCCTACCTTTCTGGGTGCTTAACCCCAGTCGATGGCAGATAAGGAAAACCCCAAACCACAGGGGGGTTTTCCAGGGCCATTGCTCCCTGAAACCTCTTTGAAGGGGTGAGGTTCTGGCGCTGGTCCCTGGTAGGTCTGAACTCCATAGTTAATGTCCCAGTCTAATATAAAATCCATTAGCCCGATAAGCTGCAGGGAGCCGTAGGGGCTCCCCTCAGAAAACACACAAGACAACTTGGTGAATGGTGCCATGGAGGTTTTGACATCGAATGCAAGCAACAGCAGCTCCACCAATACCAAACAATAAGAGGTGACTATATTAGGCATGATACTGTATGCTTATTAAGAAACGATCAAGACTAAAACAACAGGACAGATCTGACAAAAACCAAAGACAACAAAGAGACTAGTAGCGGCAAAATGAGTGTAAGCATCATACTGCAACAGTGAAAAAGGTGCAGGAAGGACACTAGCAAACCAGCTGATTGTTCGCCATACAAATGGTGATAGACATAGATAAACCCAGCATTGAACGTAATGAAATGCCATTATCTGGGTAAAGCCCTGGAGGTTCCCTGGAGCTATTGGGGTGTTATTAGCTAATATTAGTACAGGGCTTCAGTCATATGGAGTTGTCATGCCTACCGACCACTAGCCAGAACATGGTCCCCCTCAGAGAGGCGAAGGGAGCAATGGCCTATGAAACACACATGTATGAAAGTATTCATGTCTGCAATCAACTGGGGTTGAGCACCCAGGAAGATAGGTGCTTCAAAACAGACCCCTCAGACCTGAGACTGAACAGAGGCTAGAAACTTCCCCAAAGAAAAACAAGCTAACCAGCAACACGTCACTATACCACGCGCTGCTTGTCTGCCGCTTGTTGCTTGCTTCCCCCCCCCCTTCCCCTTGAGAGGGAAGCGCCCACCGAGCATGCAGCCGGACCGTCAGTTTGGAGGCTGAAAATGGGAACAAAAACCTGCCGACCAGGGGTAGGAAGGGTGCCAGGGAGCCTCCAGGGCTCTACCACACAAAGACTGCTGAGGTCCCGGCACATTAACAAGATATCGGGCAGCCAGGACCCTGTTCGATCTCCAAAACCACCGTGCCCGAATGTCCGACCAAGACATATTTCAAACACAGCAGCCAAAGCTGCGAACCTACAAACATCAAGGGAGCAAAGACTTAATAACCCTGCAGATGACCTGAGAGACCCGAGCCCTGGAACAGGGAACAAGAGAAACAGGGTTCACCGAAAGCATGTCTCCAGACACAGAAGTTGAGGCATGCAGGTAACAGTGTAATGCAGCAACAAGACACAGAACATGATGCCTGACCAACCAAGCATCAATAACCTACGGACCCGTCCGGATGCCCGCCGTCTCGTTCTTCGCCAGAAAAGAAGGATACCTGGTTGATACCTGGTTGATGGGATTCTGGGAGTTCTTCTACTCCCCAAGCCCGGCCCGAGGCCAGGCTTGACTTGTGAGAGTTTGGTCCACCAGGCTGTTGCTTGGAGCGGCCCGCAGGCCCACATACCCACCACAGCCCGGTTGGTCCGGCACTCCTTGGAGGAATAAATCTAGTTTCCTCTTGAAAATGAGGTTCCTCTGCGCCGGAGGAGAACATGAAGCTCCCTGACCCGACCCCTAGAACAAAGCCTCCTGGAAACAGTTTTGGACCGAAGGAGCCACCACAAACTGAGAAGGGAGAAAGGAGAGCACCTGGTCCAAAGACCAGGTGCTGCATGATACAAGGCAATAGAATTCAGCACAAGATGCCTGTCCTGAAAGAGCCAAGAAAGAAATGTCAACACAATGCAATCCTAGACCAAGGACAACCTACGCAGGGAAAGGTAATGGCAAAAAGACCGCCAAGAGACTTCATACTGTCGCAGAGAAGAAAACCGCAGGTGGGACACCATGAGAGAAGCCACCTGGTCACAATATAAGTAGATGGTGATACGCCTGTGTCAGAAACTCCAGATGCAAAGCGAGGAAGAGTAGAGCGAACTAGCAAGGTACTTCAACAGCCCGATCTGCTGAAAGAAGTGGAGCTGCGGAAAACGCACCAGGGTTCAGACACCGAGCAAGCAGCGCCTGTTTCAAGTATTTGGGAGATAACAATATCAAAGCTCTGTCTCCAAAAGATGTTTAGGGTCTGTGAAAGTGGTGTTTTTCACTTCTTGTTGAATACAGAATTCCAGGAGTGTGGGTCTGGTGCAAAGTGCATGGGCATGCTATCTATGACTACTTCAAAGTCCAGTGGGATTAGGGGGACATCTGATATATGGTTCAATGTTGATGCCATATTCATAAAGAATTTGTTTAGATCGTTGATCGTAAATGTGTTTAAGGGTTCACTGAAAATAGAATCATATTGAAGCCTCAGTATTTCACTCATTTCTTTGTTGTCATCTAAGAATGTTCCATCACCCTTGCCCAAGAGCCTAATACTGGATGGAGTTTTTGTTCTAGTTTATGCATAGGAGAAAAAGTATTTTGGATTCCTCTCTGTTTCACTTAAAGCCTTTTGCTCTCTCTGCCTGTCTTGGATGTTATATGATTCTTGCAGCTGGAGCTCGATCATTTCTATTCTCTACATAGCCTTCCTTGTCATTGCTGGGATAGAGTAGAGCATTTGAAATGCACTGCTATTTTTTTTAACCTATAGAGGAATGCCATTCTAGTTCCAGTTTGCATCTTCTCTTTTTTTTCGTAAGTGATATGTGCAAGCCATATATTTCTAGTGCTACTGTAACTATTTTCTCCAAGCACTGGTTTAAGTTTGCATTAAGTTTCTTCCTGGCATATTTCTGCAAGGTCTTGGTTTATTAACATTTAATTTGCTGAATTCTCCTCCTATTGGATTTGAGCTCAACTGGCTGCACAGGTCTATTGCCCATGCTTGTCTGAACTTTGATTTATGGTGATATTGTATCCATAAACATTCCCATGTTGAAAGTTTCTGGCTTCTGAAAGAATCTGGCTCCCTCAGAATCTGAGGGAGCCAGATTCTGGTACTGGTCTTCAGTAAGTGCTCTCGAGTTATTAAGAGCCTAAGGTCTGGAAGGTTGCAGGTGAGCAATTCTGGACAACTCACGATGAATAATGGAGGGGTAATGATGATTACTGCATTGAAATGAAATTCATCATACTGATGAAAATAATGATGACCAGCTGCTTCCTTTTCTCAACATGGGCAATGGAGATGGTGTCTTTGGATATTTTAATTATTTCTTACAAGTCCATAAAGGTACTGTACACATAATAATTAAAAGAAAAACAGTAATACTGTCCATTCTCAACTTGGTGATGTAACAAGAGACGGATGGAACTTACCTGAAGATGTTGTGGACATTTGCCAGGAGGTGGTGCAGGTAACTTGACACCATGGGACTTGACCTTGGCTTTATCATCTTCACCTTCATCTGTGCCAGTGTCCATGGGCTCGGAGTTGAGCACTGAAATATGAGCACATAAGCACATTATTAAGCGTATAATAAGAATGGGGGGATTAAATGAACAAATCCACAAGGACCATGACGAGGATTCGAACCTACGTCCGAGAGCATCCCAGATGCTGCCTTAATCGACTGAGCTACAACATGGTCAAGAGTTGAAACCAGAAGTTCAACTGAACTTATTTGGATCCTGGAGCCTCTCCGAAACACAAACCATGGTTTTACTCAACTCCCCCATGCACTCGAGCTATGTCAATAGGCCTCGAGCTATGTGTAATGAAGTAAAGGCAAAAAGGTAGAACAGCCTCTTGACATAGCTCGAGTGCATGGGGGGTGCAAGTCTCCAGGCAAGCTCGAGTGTAAGTCTCCAAGCAAGCTAGGACCTGGAGCAACAGCTGAACTGGGAAAAAGAGGTACAGGTAACCCTACCTCCCCCAGTCCTGCCTGAAGGCATCGACCCCGATGGCCTCACAGTTGGGGAAGGGCGCCACATATACCGGGAGACGCCTCAACCACGCCGACGCGAAGAGGTCAACTTCCAGAGGCCTGTACGTCCGGCAGAGCCAACTGAATGAGTCGGCATCGATTGTCCATTCCGTGGCCAGGGAATGAACCGAGACAGGCCATCCGCCAGGACGTTGGACACCCCGAACGTGAGCGGCCAGGAGAGCCAAACCCAGAGAACTCAAAAGACGAGTCACCCGAAGTGACCAACCCCAAAAAGCCAAGGATCGCATAGAACCCCCTTGGTTCAGGCAATGAACCACCGGGGAGTAGTCGCTTGTGGATCATCGATCCACAAGCGACCCCGCACTCTCTGAAGCAACATCCACTCAGCTGCGAACACCCGCACCGTGCTGTGAGCCTGACAGAAGGACGGACCCCACCGTCTCTGGCCGGCCTGGTGAGCACTGGTCACAAAGCTCCAGCCAAGAGAAGACATGTCTGTGAACACATTGAGCGATGGCTCGGGTAGGCGCCAAGGCACTGAATCCCGAAAAACCAAAAGAGGAAGTCGGCGACGCAGCAACTGATGCAAGGCCCCCAGCGATCACAAGAGAGGTGGATGGAACGTCCCCAAAGGAACCAGAACAGCTGACAAAAGCCAAACCCAACCTGGCGGGCAGACCATCATAGCAAAGTTCAGGCTCCCACACAAACCCTCGAACAACCACCACGTGACCCAGGAGGCCCCCCCCCCCCAGAAACTGGCGAAGGCGGGACTGCAGCCGAAGCAGAGCCTCTGGAGGAAGAGACAAGGAAGTGGTCCGAGCGTCCCACACAAGACCCAGCCAAGACCGAACTTGAGAGGAAACCAGATGGAACTTCCTCCAGTTCACCAGAAACACAAATCCAGCAAGCTGAGAAAGAACCAAATCCTTGCCAAGCAGACATGCAAACCAGCTGAGAGCCCACACCAGCCAGTCGTCGAGGTAGGCCAGAACCCGAACCCCTAAGAGACATAGACGGGCCACCACGCCCCACGTAAGGCGTGTGAAAATGCGAGGTGCCAGATTCAAGCCGAATGAAAGCAACAAAAGTGGTAACCCTGTTGCCCCACAACAAAACCGAGCTGGTCCCTGAACCCCAGATGACTTGGGATGTGCCACTACGTGTCCTTAAGGTCCAGGGACACCATCCAAGCACCCGGTTCCAAGATAATTCGGACCTGGGACAGAGTAGTCATCCGAAAGGAGGGGCAATAAACCCACGGGTTCAGACGGGACAAGACCTGAATGAACCTGAGGTCCATGCAGTCCCGTTTCAGAACCGGAAACAGGCAGGAAATCCCCGACTGACAAGGGTGTTTCGACCACACCAGAACCAACAAGTCCGACATGGGATGGCAATTAAAAGAAGCGGCCTGCAGATACTGCACAATAGCAACTGGCAAAAAGGCAAAGAAATCTTAAGAGCCAGGGCTCAAGCGGATACCATAGAGTAAGCAAGCACCGCCTGCCTTCACGTGAGACAGGAAGCAAAAAACAGTGACATCGCATCCCACAAGATCGGTGCGAACAGTTTCAAAAGAGCAGACTATACCCACACCTCCAAGGCTAACGCACTAGTCCCAGGAACAGCCCTAACCGCCCCCACATCCTCCTCGAGCCAGTCCGTTGACAGCTCAAGAAGGGAAAAGAATCGCAAGACCGAAGTCAATAGGCCATAAGTGCACAAATTCTCAGCGACCATCGCAGCCAAAAGGGAGGGAACCAGCACATGAAGCTGCACTATGCCGACATCCCAAGGAAGGGCAGGGGCGAACAAGCATGCACTGAGGCGCTCAAATTTGCCCCCCCCCCCCTCCTCCCCAGGAAAACCTGGACCACCGTATGAGCCTCCCGCCACCCAAGTGTATGGTATCGACAGAATGAATGCCACACCTCCAACGAGAAAAAGGAGCAGTCTGCAAGCCTGGATGACTCTGGAACCTCGTAACAAACCCAATAAGGAAAGGAAGATCCATACACGAAGGAAGAAGGATCCATTATGAAGGGGGTAATCCGGGTCGTACAGGAGGTAAGCCATAATGCCTCCCACACCACATGAGGCGGGATGTGCGAGGCCAAAAACCTCCGGAAGGACGGGACCGAAGAACCCATGGGATAATGGAACCAAACCCGGGGAGGGATAGATGCCAAATCCAACTCGTACGAGGATGGGGGGAAAAAAAAATGCCTTGTAACACCAAGCCCCGCTCAGAGGGCACAAAAACCCAAGTGGGATCCAATGGGGGCCCAAGTCCCCAAGCCAACCCCTCCCCATCCTGGGAACCTCCCCATGAGGACCTGGGGCGATGGAGGCTCGAATGCCTCCGCTGCCACACCGGAAGGGGCTTTCCCCCGAAATTGCCCGAGTCTCAATACCAATTAAACCTTGCCCCAACCCTCAGACGCCTCGGAGCCAGAAGAAAGTGGGGGTGGGGGGAGGACCAGGACGAACAATAGAAGAGGAAGAACAAGGGGGCGCAGATGGAACCAAAATCAAGGCGACTAACACCCCCAAGTCTGGGTCCTTATAATCAAAGCAGGGCAGTCTTGGGGTATCGGGGAGTAGCAACAAACCTAGCATGTTACAGCAACCCAAACCAAGCATGCAACGCCGAAGCTGCCTGCACCCACATAACATTAGTGGACCGACCGGGTGAATTGGAGTACAAACAAGGTACAAAACTCGCAAGACTCCGGGTCGAAAGTGTCACCGACCACACGGGCAGCAAGACTGAGGCACCCGGTGAGTGTCACCTTGAGACAAGGGGACAGAGCAACCTTCAAACTCGCACGAAGCAAGAGGGGACCCAGGGATCGCGTCCATCGGACTAAAGAGCCCCCCTGCCCAGGGTTTCCCAGGGCCCTTAGTCGTGTTGTCTTGCTAAGGAAAGCCCAGGCAGAGTACTGCTAACTAATGCCCAAAAATACCAAGCAAACTACTAAAGCTGAACTCCTGAAACGTGTACCGTCACTGGGGCCTAGCGGAGGACCACCAAGATACAATAGGGTGTGACCAAACCATGGGGCAGGCAGGAGAACAAAAAGTAAAAGAAAACCCTTCAAGAGGGGCTTGGTGGGTGAACAGGTTTGAGCAGGCAAGTGGGGGGGGGGTAAGCAGGCAGGTGGGTGGGCGAGCAGACAGGTGGGTGAACAGGTGGGCAAACAGGTGGGTGGGCAGGGAAGTGGGTGAACAGGTGGGTGGGCAGGGAAGTGGGTGAACAGGTGGGTGGGTGGGCAGGGAAGTGGGTAAACAAGCAGGTGGGTGTGCAGGTAGGTGGGTGAACAGGTGGGTGGGTAGGCGAGCATTCAGATGGGTAGGTGGGCAAGCATTCAGGTGGGTGGGTGGGTGGGTGGGTGAGCATTCAGGTGGGTGGGTGAGCATTCAGGTGGGTGGGTGGGCAAGCAGGCGGATGGGTGAACAGGTGGATGGGTGGGCTATCAGGCAGGTGGGTGAACAGGTGGGTGGGGTGGTAGGTGAGTGGGTTGGCATTAATATTCATAACTAGCTATCCACAGCAATAAGGAAACAATATAATTCTTGCAACACCTCCAACGACACCTTCCTTCATTAGGCTTAAGCAAGTCACATACACACACAACAGTTCTCCCTTCCTTCCTGCCCGACTCCCTCCCTCCTTCCCTCCCTCCCTCTCTGACTGACTCCATCCCTCCCTCCCTCCCTCCCTGACCAACTCCCTCCCTCCCTCCCTCCCTGACCGACTCCCTCCCTCCCTTCCTGTCTGACTCCCTCCCTCCCTGTCCGACTCCTTCCCTCCCTGATCGACTCCCTCCCTACCTGTCCAACTCCCTCCTCCCTTTCCTGTCTGACTCCCTCCCTCCCTCCCTAACCCAACTCCCTCCCTCCCTCCCTTCCTGTCCGACTCCCTCCCTCCCTCCCTTCCTGTCCGACTCCCTCTCTCCCTCCCTTCCTGTCCGACTCCCTCCCTCCCTCCCTCCCTTCCTGTCCGACTCCCTCCCTTCCTGTCCGACTCCCTCCCTCCCTCCCTTCCTGTCCGACTCCCTCCCTCCCTCCCTCCCTTCATGTCCGACTCCCTCCCTCCCTCCCTTCCTGTCCGACTCCCTCCCGCCCCTTCCTGACCATTATCCCCCCAGGTGGTCCCTCCCAATGCTCCTCTCTCTGCCGACACCACCCACCCACCCCACCCCTTCCTACACCATGAACCTGGAGCCACAGTCGCACAGGATTAATACGGTACGGCCCGCTGCCTGGCTTTCTTATCCAGACAATTCACCGCTTGTCCGGCTGACTGTCCGGAGAGCGTAACATCGGCAGCAAGTTATCCGGCCCAGATTTTTTATCTGGCCAAACACCCGCTTTTCCGGCTCCTATGGACATTTTGGCCGGATAGTGAGATAACTTTATCCGGCCACAATTTTAGCCGGATTAGGGCGTTTTCCGGATGGTCGGATTCTGGATAATCGCATGTCTACAGTACATTTATATCCGCCCGGATAGCTCCGGGGAGCCAAAGGGGCTCCCCCAGAAAA